AAAATGTATTTTTTAAACATGTTTTAATTGATATACGATTATATATGTTAATTTGATAAAAGTTTAAAATGAAACATTTAAAAGTAAAGAACATAAAGTAAATTAATTAATTAATTATAGGGGTATAAATTGTAAATTTAAAATTATAATTTTAAAAAAAATCGATTGTAAGAGGGTGAGTGTATGTGAGGGAGTGAGTGTATGTGAAGAGAGGAGGGGGTGAAAAAGTGAGTATAAATGGTATTTTGGTCATTTAGAATTTTAAGACTTTAAGACTTTTGCTAAATTTGCTTAATAAGATAATATAGATATGTAGTTAATCAATTGTTGTGATTATCCGTTCCTCGAAATCTTAAGCATAATATGAACTTTTAAAATCGGAGGTTATCAAGTTGTTATTCAGAGTCCTTTTGTGTTGTATGTGATGTTTTAGTGTAATAGTTTGAATACTTGAGAACTTCGACCTGTTGTCGGTATATTTTAATATCTATTGTTGATTTTATAATTTGGAACCTCAATGATTTTATTCAAGTTGTTATCCAATATTTAATTTGAGTTGAAATTATTGAATTTAACTATGACTAGGCTTGGCACTTGGGGCAACGGTGTTGAGATGCCTCCATGATATCCACAAGGGGTATGGCCAAGCTGAATCGAGAACGTTGGATGCATCATTTGAACTGAACACCAGTTACATTGGTTATCAGATAGAGCCGAATATTGATATTACACTAGTTACCGGGGGCATGAGATGGTGTAGTGTCCGACACTTCCATTCCATAACGATGCTTGATTCGATTGATCATCCATCAAGAGCAACGTATCGTAATGATACATATGGCCTTCTAGCCTTGACTTTTATTTATATGAGTTTAGTTTTGAGATTTATACTGAATGCGAGTTGAACTTTTATCGCAATGTTTCTTTTCAGTTACGTATTTCTTATCTTGTATTTGTTGTGTTGTTATTCCTTCGTCGGAAAAGTTTTGTTTAGCTGAGCTTTTGTAATTCTCTTTAGAAAACTATATGCTAAGGTCATTTTAAAGTAATATATTACATAGATAAAGGGCAATAAGACAAGTAAAAACTATCTCTACCCAATGCCCTAAAGTGCTAAACAAGTAAAAATGTGCTAAAGTCTTTCTTGATGATTTAAAAATAGTCCATGTAGAAGCACACTTTTTGGAAAAAGATGAACCCTATTTTAATTCAAATAATATATAATCTTGACACCTTTGGTTGAAAATATAAAAATTATTTTTCTTATTAAAAAAGCAATAATATATTACAAAATACGTACATGTTGTGTAGGATGATGCAAATGAACATGTTATAATACACAAACTATAATTGTAATTAAATGAGAAATTTATAAAAACTCAAATATTACTAATCTATTAAATTTAACTATTTAAGGTACACACAAAATGATTATAGTAACTGATAAATTGTTGGGTTTAAGCTGTGCTTAAAAATTGTATTCAAGTGTTTCTCTATTTATAAATTGTCTTTAATATTTTGTAGGTATAAATTAAGTTGAAATTATTTGTAATCTTCAAAGAATTTGAATACAAAAACCTTTGATGAAAATTCTCATATTCTGTTATTGATTGATATTAATGAGATTAAAGATTTGGAATTCACATATAAATTAATAAATAGAGACACAGACACAGACACAGTCAAATATATAAAAATATTATAACTTAATACCGTGTGGTTGGTGAGTGAATTATGAATATTTGACTGCTAAAATTCAACATGTTCGGCTACATATGATTTAAGTTCTTTAAACTGTCATCTTCATATGCATTTATAAAATCAAAATCTTTTTTAACAAAACACAGCTAGCTATTCATATATGACGATGGATTAACTACTGCATGTGCTTAACAGTTCATCTATGATAGATGTATCCAAGTTACTATAATTGAGCTTAACAGTGTATATGCCTTATATAATTATTCCATATTTGATTACAGCTTAGTTCAAATACTAACCAATCATATTCCATCTTTTATTTATGTTTAAATATAACTCATATATTAAATACAAGGGTAATTAGGTAATTTGACATTTATGTAACTCCCTAATAATTATTTGGGAGTTACAAATCTTAAAGATCTCACTAATTGATCATGATGTAATATTGAATTTTATTTTCATACGTGTTCATGATCATAGTTTACAAATGATGTTCTACATATAATGATATTGTTTTCGTAAGTGTAAAAGATTTCCGTATCGTCCGAGTAATATGGATAATTCTATTGTAAAACAGATTGAAAACAATGGAAATGACAAAATCGTCTACGACTACATTTGCAATTCGAATTTCGATAATGAAGAAAATGATCAAAGCGTTCCTATTGATAAGTGATTAGTATGACATTTGAATTCGTTTAAATGAACACATATCAAAGGCAATAGATGTTCATATCGATACATATGCACAATCATATCACATGAATATGAACAGTATCTGTGATTCATGTGAACACAAGCTTTGTAGGTGTTCATGTACATACAACAGAGTTGGCTCCTGAATATACAGAAGATGTTCATACGGTTCACATGTTGTTCATATGTCTTATCTTTTTTGTTTGATGTGTTTTGAGGATATACACAAGTTGTTCATATGTCTGACAACTCGTGTATCAAAAATATATTACTTTTTACCTAAATACCCTTTGATATTTTGTTTACATATGTTAATTGAAATTATTAATTTAATAATTAATTTTTAAATATCATTAAATCACAACCGTTTATTATTCAAATTAATGACCAAGATCGGTTAACAAAGTTAACACGATAATATTGGTTAACATTTGAACCAACCCTGTTTGATTAATACATACTTCCCTCACATGTATTATTACACTTAAACAATTAAACCGACCAAATGATTTAAAATTACCACTTTGTGACTCAAGCATCATATTACGTCTATTTTTGTATTTATAATGACGTACTTATTTTACATCTCATCCATCATTGCATTATTTTATGTACAAGTGTTTTTTAGTACCATGTTGTTTTCATTTAATAGTTTTATTATTAAAACAACTAATCTATATTAGATTTGGGTTGTTACATCATCTTACCAGAGAATATAGTAATATATACTATACAAAAACTTATCATAGGGTGCAAATCGATTAGGAATAGGGGGTAAACGAATCGAACGTTTTACGAATCGTTTGACGAGAAGTTCGTTTATTTAATAAATGACCGAATATGAATGCATTTTTGTTCGTTTAGTTAAATGAATGAAAATGAGCAATAATCTTGTTCGTTCATTTAGGTTTGTGACCATTTCTTTATTTATGTTCGTTAATATTCTTTTACGTTTGTTTATATATATAAATATAGGGTTGTCATGGAGGAGGATAGGTTGGGCGCACGCTCAGAACCTACAAAAAATAGAAGTGCAATTTTATTAGTTATAGTAGTAATTTAAAAAATTAGTAAAAAAAGGGACATTTTTTTTTAGTATATAATAGGACTCGAAGAAAATTAGGGGCTGTTTACCAAACCCTTACCCGGGTAATCGCTTACCAAGTAACATTACCTTACCTGATGAATATGGTTAGGACCAAAAATCTTACTCGGTAAGAACGAGATAAGAACCAAAAGTCTTACCTGGTAAGTGAGGGCGACCACTCTTACCACGGTAAACGGTTATTGAGTAAATTCTTGCATATGATGTCGTTTTTGTGGACTAAAATCTTACCCGGTAAGTAAATAATAGTGTTAAATTTTACCGATAAATACTTACCGGGTAAGTGTTTGGTAAACGGCCCCTTAGTGTAATTATATTAAGAGCCCATACATGTATTAATTAATTATAATTAATATGAAAATATGTAAAATGTTAATTGGACGTTCATTTTATAGTATTGCTTATTGTTTCTCTAAAAAAAATTATCTATTATATCAAAGTGTAAAATTATTTGTGTTGAAAATATTGATATACTTTCTATCATTCATTTCCCGTGGATTCCATTCTGATTATTTCATCTGTATTTTTGTATTAGAATATAATAGATATCTTGTTATTAACTAAGAAAATTCTACCATTGAAAAACGATATCAACCATCTGAGAATGTCCAACTTATATCTATATTTAGGATTTCTAAACACACTCTTATTTTCATACATTATTTCCTTATATTGAGTGTATGAATCTTAAGTACTCATCTATCTCTAAAACAAGAATAAGATCTGATGTTATAACCAACATGAGCTTTTGATTTTAAGATTGATGGTTCCGAAGTCTTTGTTTTAACCCTAAAAGTTTAAGACAGTGATGAAAAAACGTTAACGTGAGTTGAGATGGAAACCTATATGATTTACCTAGTGTGTTACTCTGAGTAGTCAACATTGTGACCCCAAATGATATTCATTTATCTATTAAAGATATATCATAAGATGCATCTAAAAATTGGTAGGGCTTGACGATGCTAATATAAATGTATTGATTCAATTTTTGAGGAACGATGTGATGAGTAAGGGTGGTTGCTTTTTTGTTTCTTTGTGTTCGTTCATTTATGTTCGTTCCTTTAGCATCTTAATGAACGATTATTAATAAACACAAATAAGTACATTTCTTAGCGAACGAACATGTACAAAAAGAATTCTGTTTTGTTTACTGTTCGGTTTAGTTAAACGAGCAAACACAAATAAACCTTCATTCGTGTTTGTTAATTTACAACCCTAATGAGGAAGAATCAATCAACTCCAAGCTAATCATTAGTAGATATTGTATGGTTTTCTTTTATACTTTTTTGTCCCTGAACTTTGTAGGTTTTAACAAAATTTCTCCATAAAATTCTTTTTTCCAGATTTGTCCATCCAGATGTTTGCAAAACATCTTGGATTTCGTCCTTCCCACTAATGTTGAATCCAATTAAACGAGGGGCATGTTGGTCAAAATAAGGATTTCGACTACATTGATTTCTCACCATTCACATAATTGAGTTAGATTCAAATATACTGAATAAGGATTCCTACTAGATTGATCTCTTAATACGTTCATACACGAATTTAAAACTTAATGTATAAAACGAGTTTACATTTATTACCTAGTTTGTAACTTGAATATTATAAAACTCAAAATGAAAAACCGTTGAAATCATTCCTTCCAAGCATATGATCCATCTCATTCCGTTGGGTGCTAGCCATAGATGAATATGCCTCTGAGGATGCATAGGGATGCCGTTGGGGGCTAGCCATAGATGAATATGCCTCTGAGGATGTCATATCCCCGTGCTCCGACCCCAAATATACACATGATGAGACCATGTCCTCATGATCTAACCTTATTGACATAGATATTGATTCTAATGGAATTTGTGAAACTTGTGTATTCAGATTCCATGAAAGATAGTTATTGGAAGGTATAGACCCGTTGTCTCTCCAATGACCTAGGGAAAGAGAACCATCCTCAGGATCATGTTTCATGGTTTGAAAATGAGGGCTAACTTGTTTCTTTCCCGTGATCCCCTTTGCTTCAAAGTTAAGAAGGATCGAGGTATCGGTGGGATCTCGAGAATCCAAAATTATTTGCGAAGCGCGTTGTAAATTCTTACAAGTATGGCTTCTCATGTAGGTTATCTTATATAACGGTGGCTCATTATCAATCTTTTGAACTTGTTTGGTTGCTAGACATCCTTGGTCAAGCTTGTAGGTGCACCTGTAATAGCTCCTACATATAAATGAACATACACAAGCAAAACCGGTTAGACATGTTGATTAGCCATGCGCCAAAATTATTTTCGAGCAGCATTTCAATAGGTATTAAGGCCTTTTTTTTCCAATTATATCTCTTATATTTTTCAATTATTTATTCAATAAGTATTTTAGGATATTTTACATTGTCATCTACCTTATCATCATTTTAATACCAAATATATATGACTAGCTTATCAATTACTTGTCAAATATAACGTAAATATTAGAGTTAAAGAAAAAAAAAATACCTTTCATGTTTTGACTCGAGAATCTTCTTTTGACCATATTTTCTCCATGCATGTCCATCATCAGTCAAAACCGAAGTTACTTGCGTAGATGTCCATGAGTTTTTTCTGCATGTGCTCAAAGTTAAGTATTTGCAACTTGATATACGTATATATAAAATTTATAAGCAAACAAGGTGCATGATGGGTTTGATATTAGTAGTCATTTCACAATGCAAATTTCTAAGTATACAAGAATAACGACAAATTTCATAAGCAAATATTATACCTGCTATAACATCCCCTTTTAATTTTCATCGGTATTATCATTTTTGTACTCTCGCCAGGCTTTCTTGATTTATGCAAGGATTCCAGATAACTCGATTGGAGCCGCAAAGGATCATCAGCTATAGGTTTTCTTGATATCTGCTCATCGGAGCTACAAAAGGATTGCAAATAACTTGTTTGCAATAAAAAAGGCTCGTCAGGCTTTCTTGACTTCTGCAAATAACTAGCCGGGAGCTGAAAACGTTCATTGGAACTCCAAGAACCAATTATCGAGAGGGTGTTGTCGAACATCCCCAAGATTTGTTCCACTATACCATCGAGTGATGTTGGGTCAGCCTCGATGTTTTCCGACCGTTGAAGGATTTCTCGAAGCCTATCAGTCCATTCTTGGCCTTGGGTGAGTTCCTGAATAGCTTTTTTCCGGTTAATCGGCAAACTCTCCGGCCAAGTTGGAGACTCCATAGGAATGATTTGTGGTTTGGGGAGTGAAACACCTCAAGATTTATATGACATAAAAGAGAATTGAAAAACGTTTTTGTTGAATAAAATATAAAACAATAAAAAGGAAAGTGAGAAGAAGCTTTCTTAACTAATAAGGTGACGTTTCATCAATGGCTTAATGTGACGCATCCTTAATGACCGTGTTTTGGAGTTGACTGGAGTCTTTAAAAAACATTTCTTTTTTCATTTAATGGACCAAATATTTCTTCAAAAATATAGGAATAAAGTAATATTTAATAGTAATTAATATTCATAAATCTATACTATATTATAAAACATTTGACAAAAACTCTTAAAAATTACTTTTTAAGCATAAAGTATTATTTATTTATGCATATTACTTAAAACTCAATATTGCAAGTAGATTGTGCTTAAGTACAACTTATTAAAGCT